GCCCAATGCAATGTTTCCAGCTTGTTACTCTCTGAAAGTGCATGCTTCATCAACAATTGGACTAGGGAGGACAGTATTTCTCGAGCTTACCGCTTACATTGGACTTATACAAAAGACAAATAGAAGTTCACCTACCGGCTTTTTGCACTATCCTATCCCTCAAATACAATTATAAAGATAACGTCCACATGTCTAGTGATGTGGTAGACCTTTTTCTAGCGCGTCCAGTTTGGCCGAGAGAAACGACTGTAAGTGGTCGGTTTTTTGCCGAATGCTTGCAATCCCGGCACGAAGCTTCTGTACCTCCTGTTTAAGCCTAGTAATCTCTAGTCGCTGCTCTAGCTCATGTGGATTTGTTGGAGCTCCTGCCTCCACGGTTACAGACCCCTCCTCCCTCTGCCTACGGTATGGCCCTTGCGATGGGACGGCACCACATTCCGCCTGTAATTGCAGCAGCAGTGCACCACGCAGAAGTGACGACAACGCAGACTGTAAGCGTACCCGATAGTCCGCAGGGTCCATCTCGAGGTACAGAGGCCCTTCAAGGTTCCGAAAATCACGTGTTACAAGGCATTTCAGAAACATGCATGTGTATATACCACAGTCTTCACTACCAAGCGGTTGCTGTGGGATCTCCGACGTCTGCAGTAGCAACAAATGCGGTGCGATTAAGAAGCCCGGAAACGCATAGAGTGTGATAAACAGAGCACGGGTGGCGATATCGTACCTGTAATATGCGCCAGTCGACTTTCTGGACCCTGGCCAGACTATCCTGTTCACCAAGTCCGGGATGGATGAATCTCGGCGGCTACTAACCTGTACAAAACATCAATGAATGTGAGAAACTCTCATGCGTAATGTGGTAACACCATAGTGGACCAAGAGATTAGGGTGTGTTACCGTTCAATCGCATCCCATTCAATCCCCGTCTCGCAGTGCATGCCTGCCGAGTCAAAGTGGTAGAACTTAGGCTTGTGTGGAGGTGCAAATGGTGTAGGATCCGCGAGTAGTTCTTTTGCGTTGGCGACAACCACCAGGCTGAAATGGAACCTGCCAGCCGTATCTTTCATCAATAAAGCCTGGAACTCCGGTTGTTTGCGGTGCGTAATCACATTAAAGTTACCTTCCGGTGACGACAATCGCTACGTTGTCAAAGTCGAGAAACGACCGTTTAGCTGGGCAGTAGGAAATCAGTTTACCATGATTCAACATATAATCGAACGCCTTGGAGTCGAGAGCGATCCATGTCTGCCCATTTCTAAGCTGTGGGTGACGAATGTCCAGCAAGCTGTCGGGTGAGAACGAGGAACGAGAGTGTCAACCCGGTTTCATAAAATTATGACTCACTAAACCATAATGTGCTTACATGTTGTGTAAGTCGATGATGTTGTCGTTCACTGCCATGTAGGACGATATGCGAGCCATATCTGCTCCAGATACAGTAATTCCAAACGAATGCCAATTGTAAATGGTGCCCCTGTTCCCCGACAGAAGAGCACGGACGTCAGTCTACGAGGCATTCACCCGACCGTCATGTTCGTTGTGTTGAGTAGCAGTCGAAGAGCCACTGCTGTCCGGCATTGCACTCATAACAGGTCGCGGACCATGAAAGCCGTATCGAGTATTGCTCATCGTAGGTATGTATTGTCTGCTCGTCTGGGTGAAGCTACAAAACGAGTTTGGGTTTGGAATGTAGGATACCAAGCGTCGTGAGTGAAGTATATCAGCGTACCTTTTGAGCGTGGTGAAACTTATAATGTGAAGTTGGCGGTGCGCAAATTTACATTCGCGCGCTTTTCTCAAACGTTGCCTTGTATCCTCATTGGTTTGATTAGACATGCAAGTTACAGTGTTTTAAACACGGGAAAGCACGATAGGTTTCAACCCTCCCTGCCGTTCATTCGTGTTGCACGTTGGTCATTATCCCAATGTGGACCAATGGCTTGCAGGCTTGCTTATTGATTCGTGAAGTTTTGACTGACACAGTACAGTGTGCATGCATCGCGCGCTGCTACCGTGCTATTTTTTTCCCGATTTTGAGCAGTTACCCGGAGCATTTCCACCAATGTACTGTTTGCGTTCGCGCAGCGCTACGCTCGTTAATTAACAAGCCTCGGGTTGTGGTATAAAACTACTGTGATGTCGTGGATGTTGGCCGTTAATTTACGGTCGAAATAAAAAACTAAACAGAGTGCGTGCTTCCGAGTTTGCGGTATCAACATAATCGTTCATCGGGCTACGCTTCCAATGTGGTGCGTCATTGTGATGTACACTAGCCGTCAAACCGCAATCAAAGTCAATCTGAGTACTCTAAAAACAATCGTTTTTAAACATCGCAGGCTGTGCAAACATCTGTTTAGGATTCCGCCGTCTAGTATCACGGTTGTGTTGACCTGGATACGTATACAAGTTGCTACACACAGAAACAGTCTACACGCTTGACACAGAAGGCTCAGATAGAGAGACGGCCGCAGACTGGTAGAAGAGTTACTAGACTCTTACGCTAATCGTCAGCGCCTGGCACCCATATCTCCACCTCGTGATCACCCGGAGAGACGGTGTTGACGTCGGCGGCATCGCCGCTATGCACGCTGGCCTCGCCTCCTGCAGTGTTTGGCGCACGTCGATTCGGAGGTGGTGCAGACTCCCCGCGAGGCGGGGGAGGGCTGAAGGTACTCGCTCCACGATGCACATGTGGTGGCGCTGATACAGTCATGCGCTCGCGGGCAATGCGCAAATCCTGCGCCATCCACTCACGGACGAGACCCTCGATGCACGTCATAGCGTCCCCGTGACAGTCTTTGATGGTCGCGCAAATTAGCAAGGCGGCTTGCATTGTCGCCGTCTCATTCACCCGGGCGCGCTTAGGTGTAGCAGTGGTTTGCGGCGTTGGTGCTGTTACAGGGACGGAAAGAAGCACAGTAAGAGTAATAAGCAGCTTCAAAACAAAGGTTACTGTTCCATGATGCATGTACACACACAGTTCGTTGTTGCATATTTACCAAAAAGTCTCGCCCATCGCATGCACATAAACAACCGGAGCACACCTGTAAAGGTCGGTGTCGATGTGACTGGCTGAGAGGAGCTTGGTACCTCCATGCCGGCCTGCACGTTGGCGGTCGTGGCGCCACCTCCGTCCACTGCATGCGGGTCGGATGCAGCGGTGTCCTTGATGTATAGCTCAAGGTATGGCCACCATGGAGGTTTTTGGACAGAACCGTTGACATCTTTTCGTTTGTACTCGTCCCACGCGGCCATCAAGTTGCGCCACTGCTTCCGCAATGCAGGGACATTCCTGCACCAATCCGGGTTCGACTTCTTGATGTGAGCGAGCAGTCGGACCCAGTATTGCGTCCCCAGCTTGCCGCTGAGGGGCTCGAGTTTGTCTTTGGTAAACCACCGCGCCGCGGCGAATATAGTGCTTTCCTTGACCGACCACCGGCCCCTCTCGACTGGGGCAGCCGACCGCTTCTTCCGGGGCTCCTGTCGAGGCGTTAGTGCAACCGCCTTGCCTTTGCCTTTGTCAGCGGCTACGCCGCGTGCGTAGCTCCGTTTCGGCGGCGGAGTCACAGGTTGCTCTTCCTCCTCCGCGTCGTGGTCGGCGTCGTCATCATCGGCCTCATCATCTGTAGGGGACATCCCGTGATCTTCAGGCTCGTCATCCTCGTCGTCAGTGCCTTCGGCCTCGCCTTCGTAATCGTCGTCGTCGTCGTCGTCAACTGCTTTCTCCGCCACGGGCCGGACTGGAGCGGTGGTTCTTGTAGGCATCCGGCGCACCTGTGACGGACCCGCGCTGGGTGACGGTGCACTAGAACCCTGCCCGTCAGGCCCGGTCGGCGCGGATAAGGCGGTCGGATGACGGCCGTTAGCTATCTGTTGGTTCATCCAGCGGATGTATGGGATCTCATTAAGGTCCTTTGGGCAGTCGTTAAGGGACTGGCCCTTACGCTTTCGCGCCATGACGGGAACGGGCTGCGTTTCTAGATCTAGATCTAATGAGACAATGATCTACACGGGAAGGATTGACAAGAACAGGAGAAACTAAGCACCTTCATAAACCCGTAATGTGTTTGGAGGAGGAGGCGTTGTTGGGGAAGTGTGTTGGACCAGGGGAGAAGGTGCACTAGCGGGACTTGCGCGCGCCTGTCAATAATTCCGCGTGCGTTTTTTCCCACCAATCACACTGCATTGTGCGCGTTCAAAGGGACTGATGTGACTGGTGAATGTTGTCCACGTACATTCTGCATGTTGACAGTTGGCACCGCGAGCGAGGGGGGGTTCGTGATGCGCTGTCTTGCAATTAGCACGCGACACTTCCGTTTAAAAACATGTTAAAACGAAATCCAGTGCATGGCACCCTATTACTACGAAATCGAAAACACTCGCCAACACCCAAACCAGCCAAAACCCCTCTCGTCAACTCTTTAAAACTTGCATTATTTGGGCCATAATGTTCATATGCCTATTGCTCTAAAATGTAGCTACAAAACGAAGTCCAGAGCATGGCGTGTTATGACTACGAAAAGCAATTTGTGTAATCTAAACAAGCTGCAACCAAAAAGAGGTAATGTCTACAGTGGAATACAGCGACTGTTCGTGAATAAACGTAATGACGTAGAATTGTAAAAAAATTGCAACATCCATGCGGTCCTTCACCTGCAACCAAAACAGACACAGTATAAGACGGTGTGTTACAGACGTGGAAAAGTTGATTGAGCACAAGCTAATCTCGTACCTCAATTGTAGTGCTGTTGCTCATCCAAATATTGCTGCTGACCACATGGGGCACGAGAGTGGCCCATGCCCGGAGGTTGTGTTGCCTGGCTGCTGCTCGGCTGTGCTTGCGGGCGCGGAGGCAGCATGGTGGGAGCGTGAGGAACCTGTAGAAGTGGAGCCGGTGCCAGAACCGGCATGAGCTGCCGCCATTCGCGCCACCTGTGCCAGAGGCCACGCTCGGCTAGGCTTGCCACATGCTGCCTGGTGCACCTGGTGAGGAGCTGCTACTCCGACAGGGTCAGCTCAATACTGCGCTGGATGCGATAACCATGGGGCCTAACCACCACAGCGGCAGCCTTGTATCCCTTGGCTGCCTCTTCCTCGCTCGGGAAAGGCCCCATGCGAATGGGGTTATTAGGGGCCGGCATCAAGAGCTTGGCAAACCAAGCATCTCCCCCCCCGGTAACACCCGCGTATCTGGACTTTGCACGCCCACCGGTGAAGGCATCGGAAGGAGCTCCAGCTGCACCAGCCTCGGCTCCGACGTCATGCATCCATTCCCCGCCGCCTTCACCCGCGCCACTGCTACTCGGGATGGCTGGCGGTGGGTACGACTGCTTCGGCGGGGGTGCGTGCTGCGGGGGACCGCCCTGCCAGTAAAATGGCATACCGGGCGGTGGAGCATAAGGTGGCATAGCAGTGAAGCCTTGGTATATGGGAGCGGACGGGCGAGGCACAGCAGGAAGGGGCGCGACAGGTCGTAGCGGCGGGGCAGGTCGGGATGTGCCCGGCTGATAGTACGCCGCGTCCCGGCCCGGTGGCACGCTAGGCTGATGCGGCTGTGCAGTAGCGGGGGCGGGTGACGGCGATGCAGGTGCGTAGTGGGGTTCACGCTGGTGCTGCTGCGGCGGCGCTGCCTCCTCGTTGGGCCCAATCCGTGAGGTCTGGCGAAATCCTGCAAGGGGGGAGGCCGCGGTGTCTCTGAGTCCCGGGTCGGGACTAGAGTCAACCCGCTTGGATGGAAAGGCCATGTCTGGCTGGCCAGGCGCACCCAACACGCCACCGGTGTTCGCGGTCTCTCGAGCCTTCTCCAGAGCCGCCACGCGCTCAAACAGCTGCTTGCTCACGCTGCTGAAATTTGATTGCAGCTCGGCCTGCTCGGCGCGCAGAGCAGCGACTTCCTTCTTCAGGGTCTGCACTTCGGAGCTCGTCTCCCGAACAACACCGCTCATCTCTGACACGTCTGCACTGGTGGGTACGGCACCTGTACGGGTGAGCTTCTGCGGGGGAAGAGTGAGGCCCGCAGTCTGAAGGGCAGATAAAAGATTGCCCGAGATATGGGCGCACTTGTCTGCCCGCCAGTCGCGACGGAAACGCAGGGGGGGAAGTTGTGAAGGCGATAGGACTGCCGAGGTGTTGGAAGTTGGTGGTCACGTGCAAGTGGAGGTACATGGCTGCGTAGATGCCACAGTCGAGACTCTTCTCGGGCTGCCGCGGTATCTCGTATGTGATCTGTGAACAACAACCGCGTGTGATTAGTAATTCCAAAAGTGGGTTACCATGTTTGAAAGTCGGTAATTCAACTATCTTACATCAAGTACGCGATACGGGATGGAGCCAATCCGGGACTCGACCACCGTCCGTGAAAGTCCGGGGTAGACACGGTTCAGCTCCGAGGCAAGAATCCTGCCGTAGAACAAGAAAATTGATTATCAGTGTTTGCGCCAAACCGTTTACAAGCACGCTCTGCCCCTAGACTTACATGCGAACATTAGTGACGACGGCCGTGTTGGCTGCGTGATGGCCTGTCGAGTCATATAGCCACAGTTTGGGGGGGGGCGGCTCCTCACCACCCTCGGATGATGTGACAAGCGTTCTTGCGTTCTCCAGAACAAGCAGGCTGAAGTGAAACCTGAAGGAAAGAAGACGGGAGTGATTAGAATGGAGTAGCCGTATGTACAGTCTACGGGCAGGAGATGGCTGTACATACTCAGCCGCAGCAAAGAGCGCGACACAGTCGAAGCGCAAGAAAGTGTCCGTGTCTTCGCAGCAAGCGATGAGCTTCATCTGTGAGACCCAGTAGTCGTAAGCTTTCACATCTAGCGCGATCCATGTTTTCCCGTTGTCCAATCTCGGATGGCGTATGTCCAAGAGGCTGCATGGGTACCGGCAGGGAGGGTTTAGCGTTTAGGATTGTAGCAAGGAGTGTGTAATATTTGGACCCCGACGGAATGGCGGGACTTACATGTTGTGGAAGTCCAATGCAGTGTCCGTGATTGGTGCCGCATCCTGCATGTGGAGAGCGTCAGCCACGTTCAACGATACACCGAACCCATGCTAATTCGCAATCATCTTCGTGGGCCAGTTGCCACTCTTCACCGATGGTTGTTTCTTAGCTCGGCACGCCGGGGTAATGCCCGGGAGCTGCTTGTTGCTCCGGGCCATTTCGGCTATAAGATCTTGTGCCGGGGGTAACGCTTTCTGTGGCGGAGGAGGTGGTTAGAATGAATACGGTTCTTCTGTTACGCGTGAACGGTGCGCTCTAGTAGTCGGGCCTGTGGTCTGTTGCTGTTGCTGTTCTGCACCAGACGTCTTTTGGCGTTTTTGCCCATGGCCGCCCCTACGCGCGCTGCGGCGGCCACCAGGGACCTTCGGGGCTTCTTCTCCACCCGCATCTACGTGGTCGGACTCAGCATCTAACTCGACGAAGTCGTCATCATCATCGTCTCCAACTTTCACTGGGTCGTCAGGCCTGCCCGTAGGCATATTGAGTTGCAGGAAGTGGTAGAAGCGGGTGAGTGGTAAGGTAACGGAAACGACTATGGATCACGCTGTCCTGGCGGGTCTATAGCTCGTAATCTCGTTTACTAGGGCTACCGGAACTGCTAATCGGACAGGGCCCGAATGGGACTGGCGAAACTATAACACGCAAACGCAGGACGCTCCGTCTAACTGCTTGGGTATTGAGCAAGATTGACATTTGATAAGAGTGCGAGTGATTGGTGTTCTCGAATCACGAACAAGAGCTGCCAACGCTTTTGAGATTTGCGTGCTGAACACGGCGAGCTCAGAATGGCTGGAGCTCGCGAATCGAACGTTGTTTTATCATGTTGGGGACCACAAGGGCTGAGCTGGCGTATTCTCGTTCGCACATGCTCGCGGTCTGTTTTTTAGCAGATCGAAGATGTACACTGCTGCAAGCCTGTTGGAGCAATCCCTGATGGGCGCACCATGAAAGGTGAGAATCACACGCGAGGAACTCGTTTTTTGCCAAGTGGCGTGCAGCTGGCATGTATGCTGACGTTATCGATAACATGCGGATCGGTATTGCTGCGTTGTAATTACATCGTTGATCGTCTCACGCATGGTGTTAATGATCACGTGTAGCGATCTGGCAAACATACTACGTGTGCAGTTCAGTTCATGAACGGCGGGCTGCGATTGGTGCTAATTTCCGATATGTGAAATGCCAGGATTCATTGAACATTGCATACACGTTGACGTAAGACTTGTGCATGCATGCCATCAGTCCAAAACCTTATCGCTCAATGTTTAGGCGGGAAATAACCAACGGTAGTCCAACCACGTGTACTGGTTCGCGCATGCTCACGACCGTCATCCCTATTGGTCCGCGTTCGCGATGCGCAGCTGCAATTGCAGATGAACTGCCATTTGGCGCTCAATGAACCTTTGACTGAGTGGCGCAGTGTCGAACCTAAACTGCGATGATTCACACGTAGGCTTGGCAATCCAGCACTACGCAGGTTTGGTTCCCACAATGGTGGAGGCTCGCGGCTGGGTTCCTGACAAAAAGTTCCGAGATGACCGTACACTTACATGTACACGACTTCATTGAAGTCAAAATGTCGGGAGCGCGTACCGCGCGGGACAGAAGGTGGGGTGTCAGAGTTTTGGGTTATGGAAAAATTTGAGCGCGATGAAAAAAATTCACGAGAGCAAAGCCCGCGCCGCGGTAATTCTCTCAGATAAAGGCCTCAAGTACAGTGCAGACTGCAACACAACCGAACCTGGGGAAGGCACCTGAAATGCGACATGCGTCTCGCCGGGAATTCAATCCAGCCAGCAACAGCCAACCGTCTTCACCCATTCGTCCCTTCACCCAACCCACCTCACCGCACCCCACCCTATTAATGCCACTGTCACTACCACCCCACCCTATTAATGCCACTGTTCCTCCATCCCCAGATCCCGCCTGGCTCTGTTTCCCCCCCTACCTCCACATGCACGGCCTACCTCTTACTCCCCGTTCCACTGCTTTCTCTCCAAGTCGTGCCGTGTCTTCCGCCTTCGCTGCTCCTCTCACACCCTCCACAAGCCTCTTGGCTCGGTTCCTTGGTTGGTGTACCTGTTTCACGACGTCGTCACGGCGACGTCGTGAAATTCTCTCCTTCGCCTAGCTGGACTCACTAGTAACTATTCAGGGCCAGCCACTTCGCTGGCAATAGCACTAGGCGGTACAGCCACTACTCATGGTACACACTGTAGTGACTTGGTTGCATCACCAATGCCCCTCTTCACGCCCCCCCCAGTGCTTGTTAGCGGCTGCAAGCGCGCCGTAAGAGTACCCGCTGTTACTATGGCTGTTCATTCCTCAGCAGGCGCCGCGTCAGATCGCGCCTCGTACTCCTCGCGCACCCCTTCCGCCAATCTGCTTCCGCTCAACCCTCCTCCGCATTAGACCGTCCTGTCCTCCCGTCAACGAAGTCAACGTTCCGAACGTGGGGAAACCCCGATGATGCCGCTACTGTACTCAACGTCGCAGGTACTACTACTCCTCCTCCTATATTTACTCTACCTCTCTCGAGTCTCGCCCACAAAATCCGTGCATCAACGCCTGGCATTAGTACTAGCAATCCAAGCGCCAGTAGTGATCGAGTTGTCGCCGACGTAGAGACTATATACTTCTAGTAGTGATATTTCCGCGTCTCCAATCGTACTCTCTCATTCTTATCCGCATTCAAAGTATTTCCATTCTCACACAGCATTTATGGCGCCATTCCCTCGCCCCCTCCCGTTCCCCCTCCCCGTCCCCTCGCGCCTTACCCTTATCGCCCTCCTCGCGCTCATCGCCCTCCTCCGCGAGGCGGAGGCCTACACCGAGCCGCCGATCCCCGACGGGTGCGTCGCGGAGATAGCGGAGGTCGACCGGGAGGCCATGCGCGCGGTGTACGCGGCGCTACCCGAGATGATGTTCTTCTGGCACGACGGCATACCGCAGTACAAGCTGTTCGACGACAACCACAACGTCTCGTACTGTTGCGTTGCGCCCAAGCCCGCTAATGTGTCGTGCCGCCTCTGGTGCCCGCTCGAGTGCACGCCCGCCGGCCACATAACGGGCATTTTTTCCGACCCGAGCCGCCAGGACATGCCCGGTCCCGGCGGTAGCGGAGGGAGCTGTCCGCCCGGCGCGCTGTCGCCCGCCATAGGCGACCTCGCGGAGCTCTCGTCGCTGGTTTTCCGCCACTCGTGCCTCGCCGGCGACTTGCCGGACTCCGTCACGCGCCTCCAGAAGCTGACGAATTTTGAACTGCCCGAAAACAACTTCTCTGGGCCCATTCCGCCGGGCCTCTTCCGCCTGCCCGCGCTCCGCCACGTGGATCTGAGCACACTCAGTGACTACCCGGAATATCAACTTCAATATACAGGTCTGTCGGGGCCCCTTCCCGACGGGCCCGACACGTACTCCCCGTCGCTGGAAGTGGTCTTTTTGTCCGGCAACGCGCTCTCGGGGGAGCTTCCGCGCGCCCTTCTCCGCGCGCCTGCGCTGCGCATTCTAGACCTGGAGAGCAACAACATCACGGGGGAACTCCCGGGGGAGGCGGGCGCGTATTCGCGGAGCATCATTCAGCTCATCCTGCGCAACAACAGCCTGTCCGGCGCCATACCGGCTGCGCTGGCGGAGATGACGGCGCTACAGAAACTCGACCTGGGGGAGAACCGTCTATCCGGCGCGGTGCCCGCGGCGCTGCGCGACTCTGAGTTGCTCAAGGCGCTCGACGAGGTGCGGCTCGACAACAACGCGCTCACCGAGCCGTTCTGCGACGCGCTGCTGCCGGCGCGCGAGCTCTTGCTGGGCTTCAACGACTTCGGGGGCGCGAGCGCCGGGAGCAGCGCCAGCTCGAGCGGCGGCAGAGGTGAGGAGGAAGGGGGGGGCTCTCTGCACGGCTGCGTGCTTCCCGCGAAGCTACAGAGACTCAGCGCGCCGCACGCGGGTCTCTGGGGGAGCGTTCCGCCCGACCTGTTCCTCGCGACAAACCCGACGGCGGGGCGCAGGCCCCATGGGAAGTGGACTATCGACATGGACCTGAGCCACAACAGCCTCTCGGGCAGCCTGAAAGCTTTCACAGTGCTTCCAACCGGTGTATTCGACCTGTCGCATAACAACTTTTCCGGAGGTATTCCCGAGGCGTTTTTCAGCGACTTCTCGCGCGTGGACCTGCGGTTTAACGACCTGCGGGGTCCGCTGTTCGACGCGCGCTGGGATTCGCGGTCTCTTCTATGGGTATATGATTGGGACGTGCTGCGCGTGAGCAACAACAGCGCGCACATGGCGGGCGCCGTGGGCGCGGGGTACCTTCCCCCCCAGGCGCCTGGCGTGCAGGCGTCCGCTGCGGAGACTGCTGCGCTACTGGCGGTGCGCGATGCGCTCCTGGGACAAACAGTGGGGGAAGCAGCGGGGGGAGCAGCGGGGGTAGCGGGGTTAGTGAACGGCGGAAACGGCTCGTGGGAGGAGATACTGCGCAGCTGGGACGCGAGCAGCAGCAGCGCTTGTGCCTGGTACGGCGTGGGGTGCACAGCAGACGGACACGTGGACACGCTGCACCTGGAGGGCAACATCAACGTCACGATGCAACCCCACGTGGTGACAGAAATGCCCGCCTGTGAATACGAGCAGAGCGAATACGCGTTGAGCTGGCCGTCCTGCGACCTCAGCCGTCCATTACCTCCGGACAGCGTGCGCTTCTTCCTGCAGGGCCTGCCTGGCGGGAGCAGCAGCAGCAGCAGTGCGAGCGGGAGTCTGTCGGAGGCGTTGGGGCAGCTGACGCAGCTGACCTCTCTACGCATCTCCGGGCATGCTCTCTCCGGCGCCGTGCCGCCGTCCCTCTCGCGCCTCTCGCACCTCGTCGCAGTCGACCTCTCCTCCAACCGCCACCTCTCTGGCTCCATTCCCCCCGCCCTCTTCACACTCGCCTCGCTGCGAGAGCTCTCCCTCCGCGGGAACAACCTCACGGGAGAAGTCCTCCCAACCGCCACTGCAGTAGCAGCAGCAGTGCCGCTGTCACCGAGTTTGGAGATTCTAGACGTGGGGGAGAACGCCCTCTCGGGGTCCATTCCAGCCCAGGTGAGTCTTCTCACGGGGCTGACGCGCCTGGCGCTGGACCACAACCGGCTGGACGGCAGCTTGCCAAGGGAGCTCGGCGCGCTCTGGATGCTCACAGACCTGCACCTGCAGGGGAACGCCCTCCGGGGTGATGTCTCTGCACTCGCTGCAGCCTTCCCCCCACCTGCTGCTGCCGCTGCTGCTGCCAGCGATGGCAGTACCGCCGACTCTACTGTCTTGTGGGGTCTCCGCAGGGTGTTTCCGCTGCTGACCCGTCTGGACGTCAGCAGCAACGAGCTCTCAGGCGACGCAGCCACGCTCTTCCCTCTCGACCAAGAATTCCACACACTGAACTTCTCCAACAACAACCTCACATGGGGCTCCAGCAGCAACGCCTCCTGGCATGCCGACTACCTGGACCTCTCACACAACCGCATCAGCGCGCCACTCCAGGACCTTTTCGGAGACTTATCAAAGGGGTTTTACTCAACGGTGCTGCGTCTGTCGCACAACCAGCTGTCGGGACCCATCCCTTCCCCGCTTCTGGGACACAGAGTGACGCACGAGTTGGACCTCTCACGCAACCTGCTCACGGGTTCAATTCCTGCCATCGACAACTTGTACTCCAAGACGCTCGATCTGTCGCACAACCAGCTGACTGGCACCATTCCCCAACTCGATGGCACCGACCGTCTCCGCCTCGCCTACTTGGACCTCTCGTCCAATAAACTCACAGGAAGCATCTCCAATGCTCTCGTCGCTGGCCTTACAGCCCTAACCCACCTAAATATCTCCAACAACCTGCTCTCCGGCTCGCTGCCCTCCTCGCTCGCTCGTGTCCCTCCCCTCACCCACCTGGACCTCTCATGCAACAAGCTCAAGGGCTCCCTGCCTACCTTCGGCCAGGGCCAGCAGCGCCGCGGCTATCTGGACCTCTCCTTCAACGCGTTCAGTGGCAGTGTTGCGGAAAGTAACTTTCCGTGCTCGCAGCAACAGTCAGCCGCTACAACAGGGCTGGCGGGTGCGAGTGGGGCAGAGGTTCGGCTGCACCACAATGAGCTCACTGGAAGCATCCCTACTTCCGTCTTCTCCTCGTGCCTCTCGCTGCTTGACCTCTCACACAACCAGCTCTCTGGCCCCATCCCAAAACCTCCCCAAGGGAACAGCCAGAGCTCCTCCCTCGTCCCCCTCTCCCACTTGGACCTCTCTTCCAATAAGCTCACAGGAAGCATCTCTGATGCTCTTGTCACCGGCCTCACAGCCCTATCCCACTTGGACCTCTCTGACAACCTGCTCTCAGGTTCGTTGCCGCGCTCGCTCGCCCTCGCCCCCGCGCTCACTGACCTCAACCTCTCACGCAACAAGCTCAAAGGCTCCCTGCCTGCCTTCTGCCAGGGCAAGCAGCGCCTCGCCTCTCTCCTCCTCTCCTCCAACGCGTTCTCCGGCCCCCTCTCCTCCCTCCTCCCCTCCTCCTCCTCCTCCTGCGCCTCCTCCCTCCTCTCCCTCAACGTCTCCACCAACCAGCTCTCCGGCTCGCTCCCCTCGTCCCTCTCGCGCTTCACCACTCTGCACTCCTTGCAGGCGGCGCGCAACCGCATGAGCGGCAGCATCCCTGCAGGGCTGGCATCGCTGACGGCCCTGCAGGAGCTGGATGTGTCGTGGAGCGGGCTGTCAGGCACCATCCCTGCTCTGCTGCGTGCTGCTGCCCCCTCCCTGCAAGTGCACCTCGCTGGCAACGCCCTCTCTGGCTCCATCCCCCCCTCTCTCTCCAACCTGCCCACCTCCTGCTTCCGCCCCGGTAACCCAAAGCTCTGTGGGAAACCCCTGCCTGACTGCAAGAAGCGCGCTACCAAGCCCAGAAAGGGCAGGGTGTAGCCGTGGGGAGGCAAGAGGACTGATCGCTGCTTGTCTGTTTCGAATTCAATGGAACCTGCGGCTGGTTGCAGGAAAGGGGTCCACAAGAATGCTGTTGTGAAGTCGAATGTAGGTACTAGCACTGTTGTACTACTGCTGTGTATATGTTCACTCACATGTGCTGCGAAAGAATAAGGCAAGGGGTACCGTACCTTTTTAGTTCTTACTGCGGTTCATAATGATGCATCTTCACTTGTGTCTCAGCTTTTTTCATACCACACTTTCCGGTTTTACTCTGATGCACAGGTTATCGGTAGTACCATGGTGTTAGTTGGGGGGTGGGGTTAGGTTAGACAGGATACCTGCTCTTGAATGGCACCAACTCATTCCTCGACGACGACGACTCCTGAGTGCTGCTGCTGTGGTTTCTTTGTCCTTTTGGTGGAGCATGCAGGAAGTGTGGTAGCTGTGCTTGTGTGGTAGTGCAACAGGTCGTGGTTGCAGCTGCTGCATCTTTCTTCTGCTTCTTCAGAATACGGTACATGGAATTGGATGACAAATGCTATTCCCTTCCTCACTTGAACCTGCCTGCCTGCTCCCCACTTTTCCCCTTTTTCCCTGGAACCCCTGTTCCATTCCTTTTGCCACCCCACCCCCACTTGCCTCGCCGTGGAAGGTATACGGTATGCAAGGAGCTCCCCACGTCCGAAACTCATTCTTGGACTCTTCACAAAAACCAACTCAGCAGCAACTGTGGTCATAAGCCTAAAAAACAGGAGAATTCTTTAGTCTCAGATCATTGCACCAAAACAAGCAGGGAACTTGCATGAGCTGTGAACAACACAACGTACGGTCTTTGGAGTTTTTTTCTAGAGGTCTCCAACGGAAACCCAAGGGACAGATGACTGTTGATCGAGTGAGCATACTGATTGCGAGATAAGAATGAACTGAACGTTTGAAACATTTTTTGATTTCAAAACTGTAAAACATGCATGGAACTAACCACCCCCCACATTGCACCGGCCAAGATGTCTATACATAACCCAAGCATGCATCAAGGAACGGCAAGAGAGTGAAAAGACCCATTCATTGATTCATCGACAATTTAGTTGGAGAAGGTCTGGATGATCGTCGTGTTGAAGGGATCGGCAAGGTGGGTGGTCCAGTTGTCGAGGGGACCCTTGCCGGTGGCAGCGGCCTGGACGCCGAAGCCAAGAGCGGAGATCATGGCGAGGCGGCAGTGCTTGAGCTCAGCCAGCTTCAGGGTGTCCAGCCTGTTGGCATCGGAGGCGAGGCCAAGGGGATCGAAGTAGCCACCGGGGTACAACCGCTTCTCGGTGTTGAGCTCGGCGTTGCGGGCGAACTCGACGTAGCCGATGATGAGCACCTCCAGAATCACCAGGGTGGTGATGGAGAAGGGCAGGTTCAGACCCCAGTAGGAAGAGCCCTGCTCAAGCTCGACCTGCATTAACGAAAAAGATTAGGGTTAGCGGCTAAGCAGATGTGTCAATGACGCGAAGGTTGCGAATGAACGAATTTAAACACGAGATTCAAGAATAGAAGCAAATTTTACCTTGCCGGCATCTTGCCATGTGACACCAGTCACACCCTCCACGACGAGAGCACCGAGGACGGCGAGCATGGCCCAGCGACCGTGAATGACCTCGTTCTCACGGAAGCGAATGATGGAGAACACCTCGTTGTAGGGGACGAAGGGGGTGGCGGTCACCTCGGTCTTCACGGGCTTGAAGGCAGAGACAACCTCACCGGCCTTGTTAACAGCGGCGTTCTGGTCGAGCTCATCCAGCTCGAACTGGAGGTACTCAGCGGGCTTGCCAAAGCCAAGGGGGTCGAAGCCACGGTCACCGATGATGGATCCATCAAGGTGGTCGGGGACCTTGGCGTTGGGGAACCACACCAGGCGGCCGGCGTCAGGGGCGGACTTCCTGACGGTGGTGGTCCTCTTCACGGTGGTCTTCTTGGTGCCAGTGGCGGCAACCACACGGGAGCCGTTGCTGGCGTTGAAGGAGGAAGCACCGGAGATGCTGCTCACGGAGGCCAGGGAGGAAGCAGCAGCGACTGTGGAGGCCATGGTAGCAAATTGGTGTGATTGTGGATGACCTCGAGCAATCAGTGCTAGCTTCGTTGAACTGGGTGCTGCCAGAATGGGAAAGGGTGAGGGTACTTCAGTGCAAGCGGGCAAGCTGGGCAAAGCTGGGCAAAGCCGAACCCCTCTCCACAACATGTTCCTGATCGGTTCTGACCCTCCATTCCCAAGATCAACGAGCCAATCAGAGCACGCCACAAAGAAGCGCTTTGGATATGGCAGACCTTACAATTGGCTCGCGCAAACACTCGCGGGGATTATGGGGAGTGAAGTTCCTCCGTGGCATTGGATCGTTGTCGCCAGAAGATCGAACGATGGCCGGTTGTTCGTGGCGATGCTTTCGATTTGGGGTAACCATGAGAGGGTGGATGATGTGTACAGAGTTACTGTGTCACCTTATCGCTCGTGCCTCTTGGCACCAAACTTCGAGGCTAGGGTTTGGAAGGGTATTGCTAAAAACCAATCCCATAGCGCGGACATCCTCGACGACTACAGAACATTGGAAGTTGCTGCCCCTCATAGTCCATTTTCAGTAAGGAACCATTCATGGAGTCATGCAGAGTCACCTGATCATTTATATTTAAGTTGTTTAGTACTGCTACAAAATACTGAGTTACTATTCAATGCATTCTACAAAGGTGGTTTACGTGCAATTTCACTCATTATGAAACTGTAAAAACTGAGTCTCACTAGTAATGCATGGTTCATCATTTGTTGTTAGCTGTAACTATGTATATGTTTCAATACCCATTTTTATACTGATGCTAGCACAGGCTAGAATCAGGAGCAGCAATTCCCATACAGTGGCAATCCTTCTGCAACCTTGCACTGTCGTGGCCTACCCTGTAGCCACAACTTTGGAAGGCCAATCCAAACGTCGAACAACACAGAGTTACCAAATCACCGTTCTTCAGCCATTCGTCTCCACTGACCACCTTCCACTGTAAAAAATAATGCCATTCGCTGACCTGTCGCCAGCGTCGCTGCCTTGGTATTCTGGTTTCGCTGGTTGATTATCACCCTTGCCCATTTTTGTTGCCTGCTTCGCCTTGCTGTCTGACCCACAGCCTCAAGTTCTTCATCAATCCGCTATCTCCCCCTGTTTGAACCACCATCCATATTTCTTCTCTCCGGATTTTGGTACAAGCTGGCGCTCCACGGCGCTCGAGCATTCTGCAGCGGCAGCGTTAGAACGGCTTTATTCTCTTTGTCGCGAGCGCTTCCTGCTTGCGCTAGCCGTTCGGCTGCCGCTGGTGTTTCTCCTGCTAGCTCTGCCGCTGATTTTCGTCATCTGAGGGTCATGGCACAGGCGTGCGTTCCGAGCATGAGCATGTCAGCCAATCACGTGACGATGTACGACTTCGTAACTCTGCGCGCGAAACTTGTTTCTCTGTCGGCGGATCATGTTTTCCCTTCCTTCTTCCGACGTTAAATTATTAGTAAAGTAGTTTCAAATTTATGATTATGACTTGAGATAGGTACATTCCTGAAGTGATTGTTTATTACCTAGTGCGCTTCCCACCTCCCGTCCCCAATCGCTCCAGCTTCAGATTGTATTCCCACCTCGACCCGACGCCCCCCGCAATTCGGGTCTTCTCTCCCATTCCCACCACATCGCAATGCCCTCTCTCCATCCCCTTCCTTACGCTGATCGTTTGCCTGATCCCCAATATCCCAGTCCTCGGCAGCATATCGCGTCGTGCCCCGCGCGGTCGCCGCAGCATCAGCTGCTCTTTCCGCTCTCGTCGCTGCGCGTGCTGCGCGCAGGGGGCGCCGCGCAGCTTCCTCGTCACGCGTCGGTGTCCGCAAAGCAACAGGGCGGGCGGCGGGGAAAGCGCGCGACTGTCTGCGCGCTCACCGCGGAGGTCGGCGAAACCACCATTTCCCGCGACGGTATGTGCTCCATGGATGGAGGTGTGATCTGCAATGCGGTGGGTATGAGGAAGGTGATTAAGCATAGGGTCACATTCGACAGAACGAATTGTGGAAGAAATGGTGAAAAGGGGGTGAGCTGCTAGCGAAATGAGGCGTGTGAATTGCTGAGACCGTCGGTACGGCGATGGACCTCTATGCCCCCGGCTCCTTTGCGCAATCTTCCGTTTCCTGGGCTGTATTCTAACACGAATCTCTCGCACTATGCGTGTGCACGCTGCTGCCTGCACTTCCTCTCCGCCTCTTCCCCCTTCCCTGCTTCCGCGCTTCTTGCCCTCCCCCGTCCGCGCTCCGCCCTCCGCCCTCCGCCCTCCGCCCCCGCGCGCGCAGACGTGGTGCGCGAGGACGATCCGACGAACAACGTGCCGGACACCATCTTCGCGAAGATCGGCGCGCGGCTGCACACGCGCGCGGACCACCCGCTGAGCATCATCCGGTCGGAGATCCACCAGTACTTCGACTCCGCGTACGACAACTCGTTCCTCAAGTTCGACCACCTCGCGCCCATTGTCGCCACCTCCTCGGTACGTACGCACTTCGACGCTGCTGTTGCTTGCGCCCCCCCTTCCGTCCCCGAAACCACGCCCCCCCACCCTCTTCGTGCCCCCATTCCCACTGTGCGTGCTGCGTTGTCACTGATCCGTTGCCTGCACTTTCATGCATGGAGTGCGTATGCGCCGGTTATGAACTGTATCGTTTTATTCTATATTCCCCCTCCTCCCACGGCCCCCACTCCCTTTCCTTCCAATTCCAATTCCCCTCCCCTCCCCCATTCTTCCACCCCCTTCCCCGTCCGCATGCACCAGTTTTTCCCGATTTCTTTGAATTCATCCATCACTCTCACTTCTTCTCTACCTTCCCCTCTGCCGCCCCCCTCCCCCCCCTGTCCCACCGCGTCCGCCCTGCCATGGCCTGCCGCCTGTCCGCCTGCTCGCCCACCGGCCCGGCCCCACGCCTGCCCGCATGCGTGCGTGCGTTGCCGTGCGTGCAACGGACGGGAGCAGAACTTTGACGACCTGCTGATCCCGGTGGACCACGTGAGCCGCAGCTACAACGACACGTACTACATCGACGGCGCCACCGTGCTGCGCACGCACACCAGCGCGCACCAGGCGCAGCTGCTGCGGGATGGCCACACGCACTTCCTCGTCACCGGAGACGTGTACCGCCGCGACGCTATTGATGCCACGCACTACCCCGTCTTCCACCAGGTGAGCGTGAGAGACAAGTTGGCGTTTGAGAGTTTAGTGAAACCAACCAGGCGCAGCTGCTGCGCGACGGCCACACGCACTTCCTCGTCACCGGAGACGTGTACCGCCGCGACGCCATCGACGCCACTCACTACCCCGTCTTCCACCAGGTGAGTCAATTTCTGGGTCGTCTCAAAAGGCGCCTCGCACCGCCCCTTCTTTCACTAGATCAGTCACACAATCCACCAGTCATGTGACCCACCAGTCACTCTGCTGCTCGGATCTCCATTTGTCGTCATACCCACCCCTCAGTTCCACCTACCACCCATGTGCTCCATATCCCCGCCCTCCCCTCTTCCCCTTCCATCCACACACACTCCCCACCTCGTCTCCTCCCCCCTCCCCCCTCCCCCTCCCCACAGATGGAGGGCTTCCGGGTGTTCAGCCCCACGGAGCTGGCAGCAGCAGGCGGCGACCCCACGGAGTTCGTGGCAGCGCAGCTCAAGCAGGCTCTCGAGGGCCTTGCCAGACACCTCTTCGGTGAGAAGCGCGGGAGGAGACTGGGGGATTCAGGAGGGGCGCTGGGCGGGGGACTGGGAGTTGGGGACTGGGTGCTGGGGACTGGGTGTGGAGTGGAGGACTGGGCGGAGTAGAGCTAGTGCTTTGTTGTGCGGCAGCGGAATAGCTGGGCTGGTTGGTTGACTTGCTGGTGGGTTGCTGCTGGGTTGGTGGGCGGTGGTGGGTGACTGGGCGGGTGCAAGTAAGCTGATGTGTGGTGTCTGTCTGCGTGTGCGTACTGCTGAGCTCTTCTCTTCTCTTCTTTGCTGTGCTCTGCTGTGCTGTGAGCAGGTGATGTGGAGATGCGGTGGGTGGACACATACTTCCCCTTCACCAACCCCTCGTTTGAGCTTGAAATCTTCTTCCAGGTCCGTCCCGCCACCGACTCTGCTGCTGCTGCTGCCGTGTCTCCACTTGTGCACTCTCACTAGGTTCCATGTATGTGCGGCACGGCAACTGTGTGCGCGGGCTTGTGAACTACACACTCACTTTCAAATTTTCTGCCCCCTCACTCCATCACCTCATGCTTCCCTCTCCCCCATTCCCCCTCTCCCCTTCTCCCTTCCCCCATCCCCTCCACAGGGCCAGTGGTTGGAGGTGCTGGGGTGCGGGGTGACGGAGCAGCAGATTCTGGACAACTGCGGGCTGGCGGGCAGCAAGGCGTGGGCGTTCGGGCTGGGGCTGGAGCGCCTGGCCATGGTGCTCTTTGACATCCCTGATATCCGCCTCTTCTGGTCCAACGACGACCGCTTCCTCACGCAGGTGAGAGAGGCGGGAGGATGGAGAAAAGTACCGTTTATGAGGAGGAAAAGGGGAGGAGAGGAGAGGAGGGGGTGGCGGTGGGTGAGGGGGGGGAGTGGGATGCGTGGTTGGAGAGAGTTGGTGAGGGATGGGCTGATTAGGTCCCTTCTGGGCGGGGGCTGGACTGGAGCGGCTGGCTGGCCATGGTGCTGTTTGACATGTGCGTTCTCAAGCGCCTTCTATCCTCCTGCCTCCCTCATTGCGTCCCTTCCCTTCCCACCCTGCTTCCCTCTCCTTCCATTCCGCTGCAGTTCAAGGATGGCAAGCTGGGCATCAAGTTCAAGCCATTCTCCAAGGTACGCCCGCCCTCGCATGCCTTGCCGTGCCTGCCTCTTGCACTTGCACCCATGCTTGCACCAACACTCTGCCCTCTCTCTCCTCTCCCCCCACACCATTCACCCACATACTCCCCCCCACACTTTTGTCGAGCATCCATCTTTGGTGCCGAATTTAACACCACTGGCATCTTCTAGCACCTGCTTACTGTTTGCTCTTATCAACGTGTGTGCGATCCCTTCCCCGCCTCCACAAATCCCGCATCCTCCCTTACACATGCTCCTCCCTACACTCGTCCCCCATGCCCCACTCTGCCTTGCTGCAAGCCCATGCCTCTGTAACGCATCCTCCGTTTGCTGTGCTCTGCTCTTTCTCTCTGCTTGCTTGCACCTGCTCTGCTCCCTGTGTTGCGTGCCTCATGTATGCATGTGTGTGCATGTGACTTTTGAGTCGACTCAAAACGAGGTGACTTTTGAGTCGACTCAAAAATGTGTCGTGTGACATTGTAACGAGGTGACTTTTGAGTCGACTCAAAAGTCACCTTGTAACGCATCCTCCGTTTGCTGTGCTCTGCTCTTTCTCTCTGCTCGCTTGCACCTGCTCTGCTCCCTGCGTTGCGTGCCCCATGTATGTATGTGTGTGCATGTGTGTGTGTGTGGGGGGGGGGGGGGGTTATGCATATGTGTGGGTGAGCAGTACCCGCCGTGCTACAAGGACATGAGCTTCTGGTTGAGCGATTCCTTCACGGAGAACAACCTGTGTGAGGTTGTGCGCGGGCTTGCAGGGGACCTTGCTGAAGAGGTGCGCACAGGGAAGGGGCGAGGGGGAGGGAAGGTGGACGGGGAGGGGGAGGGTGGGTTAGGGAAGGTGGGGGGGGGGGGGGGGGGGAGGGAAGGCGGGAAGGGGAGGGAGGGAAGGGACGGGGGAGGGAAGGTGTTGGGGGGGGCAAGGGAAGGGGAAAGGGAGAGGGGGGAGAGGAGGAAGTGGGGAGTTTGGTGTAGCGGACGGTCCTTTGGCCTGGATAGAGTGGCATCTTCTCATATAGCTTTCCTATCCTGCATGTCTCTTGTCTCAATACGGTGCCTTGTCCTCTCCTCCCAGTGTCGCACTCTCCCACTCCCATGTACAATCTTGCCCCTTACTCCCACGCCTAGCCTCCGACTTTGGCCAGATGGCTAGGCAACCCCCACTCGTATGACTATCTTCTCCCCTCCACCTTCCGTGTCTCGCATTTCGCAACTCTTCTCCCATCCGTTAACATCCTCCGCCCATCTCCCTTCCCGCACCCAACCCACCGCCCGAAGTTCTGGTCCCCATGTTTCAAACTGGCCATCCTCTTGATTCCATCTCTCTCTCCCGTCCCCGGCTCCATCACCCCCTCTCTCTCCCCCATCCTTCCCTCCCCCCCCCCCCCCCCCCCCCCCCCCCCTTTCCGCATGCGCAGGTGCGGCTGATAGACAACTTCACGAACAAGAAGGGCATGACGAGCCACTGCTACCGCATCACGTATCGCTCCATGGAGCGCTCTCTCACGGACGAGGAGATCAACGAGATCCAGGTAAGAGCACTGGATGGGTGGGTGGGCGGGTGCAGGGAAGCCATGTGACATTTGAGTCGACTCAAAAGCCACTGCTACCGCATCACGTATCGCTCCATGGAGCGCTCACTCACGGACGAGGAGATCAACGAGATCCAGGTGTGTGCCGTGCATGGGTGTGGGTGGGTGGAGAGAAGGGAAGGGAAGTGAGGGTGGGTGGTCGAGTTGGATTGTAAGGTAAGATTGCATAGATGCGTAGCGCACATGCACACTCATTTTGCCCAACCTCTTTGCCCCCCCTGTCTGTGCTGTGGTGCTCCGTGGGCGAGCAGGCCAAGGTACGAGAGGAGGCAGCGGAGAAGCTCAAGATCACTCTTCGCTGAGCAACAGCAGCCAGCACCAGGGAGTAGTGGAGCAGCGGAGAGGCTGAGAGGCTGACAATTGTTGATTCTTTGAAGCTGGAAAGTACGTAAGCGAATCTCTGCGTTTCTTCCATGGACAGGAGGATGTTTTTTTGTAGAAGTACTTTTGCTGGTTTACCACCTCAGTTGCCCTGCTGTAGTAATGAGGGCTGAGTTAGCCAGGCTAGTATGGTATGAGATGTACTAGCTGGTAATTGCTGTACTAACAAGCTAGGGATAGTCATAAATACATCATATCACAACCATCTGACTTAGGGTACATTCCTGGAGCGCGTCACAAAAGCCTTGCACCTCAAACGACAAGATACAGTGCAGTGGAAACGTTAGATGCTTAGGTGTAATGCGGTGCAGAGCGGTACATTGCTTTTGTGACGCCTAAACCGAAGACATGTCTTTGCAGGAATGTACCCTTAGATCTTCCCAGCAGGCACTTCTCTAGTCTGAGACCCTACCAGCATCTGAAGTAGTCTATTACCTTCCAACTCACAGCATAAACGGTACTAGAATCGCTGGTAATACAGTATCTACACTACTTATTTCAGTACATCATTTGACAAGCTCTGAACTAATGAAAAGCTGTGTCAACAGGGACAAAAAGACCAAGGTGCTGATGATCCACCACCACTGGTTGGTCATTCAGGAATGTAGTCAGTAGAAGGATACGGTATGTTAGACAGGTGGGTTATGGTATTGACAGGTAGAGCTATTTTGACGGGCGTGGCGGGTGCATCCTTTGCCTCTTCACCTGAGGCCCATCATCCACCTCACTGTTCAAGCCCAACGGGGACAGAAACCACAAGAACACAGACATGATCACATGAATGATGTAAAAACAAATCACAGACATGTGCTTTGCAGAACATAATGGAAGTAAGCCTTGGTGTGCAAGGGAGGGAAAAACGTGATGTAGTGTGGTGTGATGTGATGAACTGTTGAGGCGCCTAAAAGATTTGCAGGTTAGACGACGACTTCTGAGGCGCCTCAAAAGCTTGAACGGAAGTAAGCCTTGGTGTGCAAGGGAAGGGACATACGTGATGTCGTGTGGTGTGATGAAGATCCACTGGCTGCCGTTGCTGATGGCGAATTCCACCGCATGCCGAAGGCAGATCTTGCGCGTGATGTTATCCTGCCATGCCATGCCAAACACAGAATGCCATGCCACACAGTTCCATGTCACCCAATGTCATGTCACGGAACGCCACTGCTGCCATTCTGAGGAGTGTGACTTACCATGACTAAGTGAGGTGACTCACCATGAAGATGTCAAACTCGTCCATGGCTCGCACTGGTGCCTCTGTGAGCTGGTGCAGCGACAGCGCAAAGCACAGCGTGGAAAACGAGCGCTCCCCGCCTAACAGCAGGGCGCAGAGGAGAAAGGGGGGTAAGGGGGGATTCGGTGGGGAGTGAGAGAGGGCTAGCGCAAGTGAAAAAAGACGACTTGGCAGGTGCATGTGGCAGGAGTGTGTGCATGGCAGGCACGGCAAACCTTCCTCTCATCACCACCCCTCCACTCATCACCATCCCTCCTCTCATCACCATCCCTCCTCTCATCACCACCCCTCCTCTCATCACCACCCCTCCTCTCATCACCACCTCTCCTCTCATCACCACCCCTCCTCTCATCACCACCCCTCCTCTCATCACCACCACTCCTCAAACCACCACCCCTCCTCTCATCAGCATCTCCCCTCCCAGCAGAGGGCGCAGACGCAAAGACGGCACTTGACATGAATTACAAGACATGTCGCTACCTGATAGGGCTTTAACATCGGTGACAGCGCCAGTGGATGTGTTGATCTGAGGTACGACGGCAGTGGGAGAATGGGGGGAATTGGGGCGAGGAAGAGGGAAGGAGAGGCAGATGGAGAACACATCAGCAGAAGAACGGCAGTATGTGAGGAAAAAAACCACATTCTAGCCATTCAGCCCATACACCTGAACCATTCACCCCACAGACAGTGCAAATCTCATTTTCCACCAACTCATTGCCCATTTTCCTTCCCCCACCCACTCATTGCCCCCCACCACTCATTCACCACCCCACCCAAGTGCACCTCGAGAGTGAGTGTGCCCTGTGTGTGATCCACCAACACATGCCCCGTGTATCGCTTTCTGCTCAGATGATCCTGAAACCTGCAAACCAGGAGACACGGGAGGTTGGAGGAGGGGAGTAGGGGAGTAGGGGAGAGGAGGAGGGGGGGGGGCAGGGGGGGGGGAAAGGGTGATTCGATAACAAGGGGAGGATGTGGGGACAAGGGAGCGAGAGCATTCAAGCGGAAGAGCTGTGTTGAGAGAGAGAATGGGAGATGGGAAGAGAAGGCTCATGCTTTCACAGCCAAATATAGATTTGCTTTTTGCATAGTGCCAAGCCCCGATGCCAAACATGCCCTGCCCCCTTGCCCCAATGCTTGCATACTCCGATCATACTACCCTGAATACTGCGCATCTTGCTAAACATTCCCTCAGTGAATATGTCCCTTAGACTTCCTTCCCTCCTCCCATCCCCACCTCGTACCTCCTCCCACCTCTCCTAAGTATCCCCACCCCCCCTCCCCCACCCCCAACCCCCCCCAGCTACCCCAGCACTCACGTCCAGTCCAGGTTCTGCCCCAGGAGGTTGGAGTCAATCCTGAGTGCATTCACCCGCACTCCCAGTGACTTCTCCAGTTGCTGCCGTTCCATACATGCATGGGCGCGTGCATCGATGGATGGATGGATGGATGGATGGATGGATGGATGGATGGATGGATGGATGGATGGATGGATGGATGGATGGATGGATGGATAGGTAGGTTGATGGGTGGGTGGGTTGATAAATGGATGGACGGATGGATAGGTAGGTTGATGGGTGGGTGGGTTGATAAATGGATGGATGGATGGATAGGTAGGTTGATGGGTGGGTGGGTTGATAAATGGATGGACGGATGGATAGGTAGGTTGATGGGTGGGTGGGTTGATAAATGGATGGATGGATGGATGGATGGATGGATGGATGGATGGATGGATGGATGGACGGACGGACGGACAGATGGACGGATGGCAGAAGAAGCATTTAAACAAAGTTCATAACCCAGTGCTTGAACCTTGCCTTCTCACCAGGAACAAGAACAACAAAAAGTAGAAGATGGGATCTATGCGCTTTGCAGCACCCGCCCTCCGCCCCCCCCCCCTCCCCCCACTTTCCTGCATGCGCATTCTCACCTCGTGGCGGAGGGAAATGAGTTGGATGGTGTTGCTGGTGGCGGTGTGGCGTCCCCTCAGCTTCTGCGCTCTGTGCTGCAGCTCCTCCTTTCGCTCCGGGGCCAGCCTGGGGGACAGCCAGGGGCAGAGCGACAGAGAAAGAGAGAGAAGAGGTAGGGTGAAAAGCGGAAGGAAGGATTTGTGTTCCTCGTGGCGGTGTGGCGTCCCCTCAGCTTATGCGCTCTGTGCTGCAGCTCCTCCTTTTGCTCCGGGGCCAGCCTGGGGGACAGCAAGGGGCAGAGCGACAGAGTAAGGGAGTTAAGAGATTGAGTGAAAAGCAGCAGGATAGACTTGCGTTGCGTGCACTTGCGTTGCTTGCACATTCTGATCTATTCTCGCAATTCAGCTCATCAACTCGTACAAAAAAGAGGGTCGTTCGTTCTTGTGGGTTGAGCAGTACGCACTTTGCAGCTATGATACCAAGCGAGGTAACAGATTCGTGGCATGCATGACTCGTGCATGAAATTACTATGAAGCAGGAAATCCCCCCCCCGTATGAAGACTGTGCAAGACTGTATTTCTAATCGGAAATGTTCTGATAGGAATGTCCCCTACACATGGTTCCACTCCCCAGTCTCTTCCCCCCTGTAACTACCCCCCTCCTGTCTCACACGGCCTGACAGCCCCGGGGCAGCTCGGCGCGCAGGGAAATGAGGTGCTACTCCCCGCTTCCCCATCCCCTTGGCCACAAACCCTCCATCACTCTCACACCCCTTCCCCCCACCCCCCTGCACCCCTTCCCATCCCTTCCCCCTCTGTCGCACACTCACACGGCCTGGTAGTCCTTGGGCAGCTCGGCGCGCAGGCGAACGATACACTGCTCCCTTCTTCCTCACAGGCCCGCCCCTCCCTACCCCCCCTGTCGCACACTCACACGGCCTGGTAGTCCCGGGGCAGCTCGGCGCGCAGGCGCATGAGGCGCTACTCCCCTCTTCCCCATTTCCGTACCCACAAACCCTCCACTCTCCACACCCCTACATCTCTACCCCCCCTGTCGCACACTCACACGGCCTGGTAGTCCCGGGGCAGCTCGGCGCGCAGGCGCATGAGGCGCTACTCCCCTCTTCCCCATTTCCGTACCCACAAACCCTCCACTCTCCACACCCCTACATCTCTACCCCCCCTGTCGCACACTCACACGGCCTGGTAGTCCCGGGGCAGCTCGGCGCGCAGGCGCATGAGGCGCTACTCCCCTCTTCCCCATTTCCGTACCCACAAACCCTCCACTCTCCACACCCCTACATCTCTACCCCCCCTGTCGCACACTCACACGGCCTGGTAGTCCCGGGGCAGCTCGGCGCGCAGGCGCATGAGGCGCTACTCCCCTCTTCCCCATTTCCGTACCCACAAACCCTCCACTCTCCACACCCCTACATCTCTACCCCCCCTGTCGCACACTCACACGGCCTGGTAGTCCCGGGGCAGCTCGGCGCGCAGGCGCATGAGGCGCTACTCCCCTCTTCCCCATTTCCGTACCCACAAACCCTCCACTCTCCACACCCCTACATCTCTACCCCCCCTGTCGCACACTCACACGGCCTGGTAGTCCCGGGGCAGCTCGGCGCGCAGGCGCATGAGGCGCTACTCCCCTCTTCCCCATTTCCGTACCCACAAACCCTCCACTCTCCACACCCCTACATCTCTACCCCCCCTGTCGCACACTCACACGGCCTGGTAGTCCCGGGGCAGCTCGGCGCGCAGGCGCATGAGGCGCTACTCCCCTCTTCCCCATTTCCGTACCCACAAACCCTCCACTCTCCACACCCCTACATCTCTACCCCCCCTGTCGCACACTCACACGGCCTGGTAGTCCCGGGGCAGCTCGGCGCGCAGGCGCATGAGGCGCTACTCCCCTCTTCCCCATTTCCGTACCCACAAACCCTCCACTCTCCACACCCCTACATCTCTACCCCCCCTGTCGCACACTCACACGGCCTGGTAGTCCCGGGGCAGCTCGGCGCGCAGGCGCATGAGGCGCTACTCCCCTCTTCCCCATTTCCGTACCCACAAACCCTCCACTCTCCACACCCCTACATCTCTACCCCCCCTGTCGCACACTCACACGGCCTGGTAGTCCCGGGGCAGCTCGGCGCGCAGGCGCATGAGGCGCTACTCCCCTCTTCCCCATTTCCGTACCCACAAACCCTCCACTCTCCACACCCCTACATCTCTACCCCCCCTGTCGCACACTCACACGGCCTGGTAGTCCCGGGGCAGCTCGGCGCGCAGGCGCATGAGGCGCTACTCCCCTCTTCCCCATTTCCGTACCCACAAACCCTCCACTCTCCACACCCCTACATCTCTACCCCCCCTGTCGCACACTCACACGGCCTGGTAGTCCCGGGGCAGCTCGGCGCGCAGGCGCATGAGGCGCTACTCCCCTCTTCCCCATTTCCGTACCCACAAACCCTCCACTCTCCACACCCCTACATCTCTACCCCCCCTGTCGCACACTCACACGGCCTGGTAGTCCCGGGGCAGCTCGGCGCGCAGGCGCATGAGGCGCTACTCCCCTCTTCCCCATTTCCGTACCCACAAACCCTCCACTCTCCACACCCCTACATCTCTACCCCCCCTGTCGCACACTCACACGGCCTGGTAGTCCCGGGGCAGCTCGGCGCGCAGGCGCATGAGGCGCTACTCCCCTCTTCCCCATTTCCGTACCCACAAACCCTCCACTCTCCACACCCCTACATCTCTACCCCCCCTGTCGCACACTCACACGGCCTGGTAGTCCCGGGGCAGCTCGGCGCGCAGGCGCATGAGGCGCTACTCCCCTCTTCCCCATTTCCGTACCCACAAACCCTCCACTCTCCACACCCCTACATCTCTACCCCCCCTGTCGCACACTCACACGGCCTGGTAGTCCCGGGGCAGCTCGGCGCGCAGGCGCATGAGGCGCTACTCCCCTCTTCCCCATTTCCGTACCCACAAACCCTCCACTCTCCACACCCCTACATCTCTACCCCCCCTGTCGCACACTCACACGGCCTGGTAGTCCCGGGGCAGCTCGGCGCGCAGGCGCATGAGGCGCTACTCCCCTCTTCCCCATTTCCGTACCCACAAACCCTCCACTCTCCACACCCCTACATCTCTACCCCCCCTGTCGCACACTCACACGGCCTGGTAGTCCCGGGGCAGCTCGGCGCGCAGGCGCATGAGGCGCTACTCCCCTCTTCCCCATTTCCGTACCCACAAACCCTCCACTCTCCACACCCCTACATCTCTACCCCCCCTGTCGCACACTCACACGGCCTGGTAGTCCCGGGGCAGCTCGGCGCGCAGGCGCATGAGGCGCTACTCCCCTCTTCCCCATTTCCGTACCCACAAACCCTCCACTCTCCACACCCCTACATCTCTACCCCCCCTGTCGCACACTCACACGGCCTGGTAGTCCCGGGGCAGCTCGGCGCGCAGGCGCATGAGGCGCTACTCCCCTCTTCCCCATTTCCGTACCCACAAACCCTCCACTCTCCACACCCCTACATCTCTACCCCCCCTGTCGCACACTCACACGGCCTGGTAGTCCCGGGGCAGCTCGGCGCGCAGGCGCATGAGGCGCTACTCCCCTCTTCCCCATTTCCGTACCCACAAACCCTCCACTCTCCACACCCCTACATCTCTACCCCCCCTGTCGCACACTCACACGGCCTGGTAGTCCCGGGGCAGCTCGGCGCGCAGGCGCATGAGGCGCTACTCCCCTCTTCCCCATTTCCGTACCCACAAACCCTCCACTCTCCACACCCCTACATCTCTACCCCCCCTGTCGCACACTCACACGGCCTGGTAGTCCCGGGGCAGCTCGGCGCGCAGGCGCATGAGGCGCTACTCCCCTCTTCCCCATTTCCGTACCCACAAACCCTCCACTCTCCACACCCCTACATCTCTACCCCCCCTGTCGCACACTCACACGGCCTGGTAGTCCCGGGGCAGCTCGGCGCGCAGGCGCATGAGGCGCTACTCCCCTCTTCCCCATTTCCGTACCCACAAACCCTCCACTCTCCACACCCCTACATCTCTACCCCCCCTGTCGCACACTCACACGGCCTGGTAGTCCCGGGGCAGCTCGGCGCGCAGGCGCATGAGGCGCTACTCCCCTCTTCCCCATTTCCGTACCCACAAACCCTCCACTCTCCACACCCCTACATCTCTACCCCCCCTGTCGCACACTCACACGGCCTGGTAGTCCCGGGGCAGCTCGGCGCGCAGGCGCATGAGGCGCTACTCCCCTCTTCCCCATTTCCGTACCCACAAACCCTCCACTCTCCACACCCCTACATCTCTACCCCCCCTGTCGCACACTCACACGGCCTGGTAGTCCCGGGGCAGCTCGGCGCGCAGGCGCATGAGGCGCTACTCCCCTCTTCCCCATTTCCGTACCCACAAACCCTCCACTCTCCACACCCCTACATCTCTACCCCCCCTGTCGCACACTCACACGGCCTGGTAGTCCCGGGGCAGCTCGGCGCGCAGGCGCATGAGGCGCTACTCCCCTCTTCCCCATTTCCGTACCCACAAACCCTCCACTCTCCACACCCCTACATCTCTACCCCCCCTGTCGCACACTCACACGGCCTGGTAGTCCCGGGGCAGCTCGGCGCGCAGGCGCATGAGGCGCTACTCCCCTCTTCCCCATTTCCGTACCCACAAACCCTCCACTCTCCACACCCCTACATCTCTACCCCCCCTGTCGCACACTCACACGGCCTGGTAGTCCCGGGGCAGCTCGGCGCGCAGGCGCATGAGGCGCTACTCCCCTCTTCCCCATTTCCGTACCCACAAACCCTCCACTCTCCACACCCCTACATCTCTACCCCCCCTGTCGCACACTCACACGGCCTGGTAGTCCCGGGGCAGCTCGGCGCGCAGGCGCATGAGGCGCTACTCCCCTCTTCCCCATTTCCGTACCCACAAACCCTCCACTCTCCACACCCCTACATCTCTACCCCCCCTGTCGCACACTCACACGGCCTGGTAGTCCCGGGGCAGCTCGGCGCGCAGGCGCATGAGGCGCTACTCCCCTCTTCCCCATTTCCGTACCCACAAACCCTCCACTCTCCACACCCC